GATTATGCCATGACATACAGTTGACCTTCTATATCTACAGGGTTCACATCCAGATCCAACCAACCACGGATAAAAATATTTGAAAAAAAATTTCATTCCTACTGAACATGTATGAACATTTTTCTCATAATTATCCACCAAATAATACAACATAAAAATGACAATTATTCACATAGCTTTTATAATTTAATAGGTATAATAAGTAATCTAGAGGTAATTTGAATATACAGAAGAATGTGTGTAGGTTATATGGAAATACTTGCTATTTTATACAAAGGACTTGAGCACTCATGGATTTTAGTGTCTGCAATGGGCACTTACAATTCTGTGTGGATCTTGAGGAACAACTGTATTTTAATTAAACTACCAAAAACAAAGACAAAGAATGTGTCCTGAAAGCAGCTGAAGACAAGAAGGAAATAACATACAAGAGAATTCTAATGTGCCTAGTAGCAGACTTAGCAGAATCCTTACAGTCAGGGGAGGATGGGATGCTGTATTTAAAATACTGAAGGGATTTTGCCGCCTGCTGCACAAGCGCAAACACCTGAGTTTGATCCCTGGTACCAAAAAAATAAATAAAATACTGAAGGGAAAGAGTTTTTTTAAAAAACATATTAACTAAGAATATTGTACCCAGGAAACTGTCCCTCAGAAATGAAGAAATGAGATGAAAATTTCCCCAAACAAAAGCTGAGGGAATTCTTTACCACCAGATTTGTCTTACATGAAATAATAAAGAAAATTTTTAAATCAAAAGAAAAGAATGTTAATGAGTAAAATAAAAACATCTAAAAGTATAAAACTAACTGATAAAAAAATGAACAAAGACAAATTCAGAATACTCAAATATTGTAATGGTGGTAGGTAAATCACATATATTGTTAGTAGAAGGGTTAAGAGGAAAGACTAATAAAAGAATAATCACTATAATAATTTACTGAGGGATATAAAATATAAAAAATTATACATTGTGATCTCAAAATTCAAAATATGAGGTCAGGGAATGGAGTTTAGGTGTGGAACCTTTATTTACTTTTTCAATCAAAGCTAAATGAGTATCATTTTAAAGTAACCTATTATAAGTATATTTTTGTAAGCCTCAAATTAACCATAAAGTACAAACCTATAACAGGCACACTAAAAATTTAAAAACCCAAGGAATCAAAATATACTACTAAAGAAAAATCACTAAATCAGAAGGGAAGAAATAAGAGAACAGAAAAGGAAAAAAGGATCTACCAAAAAAAATAGACTAACAAAATGAGGGTAGTCAGTCCTTGTCTAGTAATAATCACCTTGAATGTAAACAGATTAAATTCTCCAATTAAAAAACCGAGTGGCAGAATGGATAAAACAAGAAAGAGATTCACTATGCCTGTAAGGACACAAATAGTCTGAAAGTGAAGGGTTGCTAAGAAAATATTCCATGCAAACAGAAACTAAAAGGAAAGAGAAGTAACTATACTTATTTAGGTAAAAAAAGACTATAAGTCAAAAACTGTAAAAGAGGCCAAGAAGGTCATTATATAAGATAAGGTGTCAATTAAGTATGAGGGTGTACAATTGTAAATATAGGCATCTAGCATTGGAGCACCAAAGTGTATGAAGCTAATACTTCCAGACTTAAAGGAAGAGTTGAACTGCAATAGAATAGTATTAGGGGATTGCCATACCATACTTTCAGCAATGTCTGAATGTCAGATCATTTAGAAAAAGGAACAAAACAAAACATCAGATTTATTGCCCCCCCACCACTTTTGGTGGCACTAAGGATGGAACCCGGAGTCTAGTATGCTAAACACGTGTTCTACCACTGAACTATACCCCAGCCTTGAACACTGAGTTAAAATTGCACTCTAGACCAAATGGACATGATAGGCATTTCCAGTGCAGTCCATCCAACATTTGTACTCTATTCAACTACAATAGACACTATGGAAACAGTTGGGATATTTCTCTAAATATTAAAAATAGAGCCACTATATGATCCTGCCATCCCAATCTTGTATAGATCCAAAGGAAGGAAAATAATATATTGAAGAGATATCTACAGCTCTATGTTTACTGAGCATTATTCCCAATAGCCAAGATATGGACGCAGTCTAAGTGTCAGTCCACAGATGAGTTGATAAAGAAAGTGTGGTACACGTACATGATGGAGTACTATTCAACCTCAACCAAGAAGGAAATCTTGCTATTTGTAGCAACGCGGATGAGCCTAGAGGATATTATGTTAAATGAATAAGCCACGCACAGACAGACAAACCTTTTGTGACATCACTCATATGTGGAATCTACAAAAAGTTGCAGATCTCATAGGAGTTGAGAGCAGAATGGTGGTTACCAGAGACTGGCATAGTTACAGGGAGGGAGGATGGTGGGGCTGTTGATTAAAAATTTTATAATTACTTAAGGTAGAAGAAATAAATTGAAGATATTTGCTGTACAGCATAGTGGCTATAGTTAATAAGCATATGTTGTATTTTTGAAAAATGGTAGTTGATATTCAGCATTGTTATCACAAAAAGAAAATAACTAGGTGAGATAATGAATTTGCTTACTAGAGAGATTTAACTATTCCACAAAGCATATATATTTAAAATATTCTGTTGTACTTGATACATACCATTTTACCTGTCATTTAAAATATAAGAAATATGAACATCTTAAATTTTGTTTTGCATTTCCAGAATAAGTTAAGTATTAATTACTGTGATGAACACAACATAAAATATTAATATTGAGAAATAATAAAAGCAAAGGTAAATTTTGGATAGATATTTTCCTTCTGTAACCCTATGATGACTATACTCAGTTGAGAAAAGTTGATTCACGCAGGCCCAGGGGAAAAATGATAGAGTTTCCATGGTTTCACAGTACAGAAAATGAAGTATGAAGATTTTTTCCAGGCTGGAAGAAAAATAGAGACATCTTTCAAACAAGGCTAAAGGCATAAAGGGGGCAGCAACCACTTACACACAAGGGAGTCTGGAACTTGCTCAATCTGTTTGTGGTGGTTCTTGTTTGATGTATCATTTCACACCAGCTTAACACTGAAAATAATGTACCAACTTTAAGGGAGTCAAATTCCCCTGCCTGATAAGGATAAAAACAGTATCAAATTTGTACATTCTTAGAACATAGGAAATTATGGGAAATCTTTATTTTGGTGCTTTACGCATTCATTAAGCATTTATTGAAGGCCTTTTAGTATCAGGCACTGTTAAAGGCAATAGATATAAACATGAATGAGGTAAAATCCTTGCCCTTGGGAAACAAGGCCCTTCAGGCTGGTGGGGAAGCAGCCAGTAAAACTTGACAAACTCTGTAGCAAATTATACATAAGGAGCTAAGCTTTGGGTGAGGTGGTGACTGGTATTTGAATGATCTTGAAAGATGAGCAGTATTTGTTAAGTGAAAGTGTTGCACCCAGTGAGAGAGAACCAACCAGAGACCCATATTAAATCCACACAGGAGTTTATTACCGGCCGGGACGCGAGCCGAGCAACGGACTCGAACGAGCCTCGACTGGGGGGAGACAAACATGTTTTATACACCTTTGAGGCCAACAGTTTCTAGGCCCCTCTATGGGATAGAACTAGTAAAGCAAGCAAAAGGTACAGAAGCGGAACGTCCTGCTGTTAGAACATTTGTAAAACAATAGTTGATTAATTGTTGTTTCTAAGAGACTCTCTAAGGGGAGGAGGTTTCTAAGCTTCCTCCTTCTGAGTTCATCTAAAGGGCAGGCAGGTGGGTCAAGCAGCAATATGGAGTCTGTCTTGCTAACAAGGGTCCTTCAAAAGGATGAGCAGTTGCAGTGCAGGTGGATGGAACTGCAGAAGCCAAGGACGGAGAAAGGCACACCTCAGGCCCATTAGGGATTTCCATGTGCAGCCATTAAAGGGCATGCAGAGAGCAAGGGAGAATTCAACACTTTGGAATGAACAAAAAAAGACTCCTGGTTATCTTTTCAGTGCTGCTTATATGAACCTGAAGAGATAACACACCATGGTCCTTAACTAGGTATTTTATAGTTCTGCAGAGGTTAAAGATGACTTATAGAAAACTGATAGCAATGCAAATAATTCTTGTCTGTAGACATGTAAATAAATTCTGTTCTGGTTGAGGGACAACATTCTCCTCTCCCCAGAAGTAGGTTTGGCATCTGCCTACAAATTCATTTGAATATTCCCAGTCCTGTGGTTTGTCTGTTCTTTGCCCCCCCATCCCTTTTAACTAGCTGTGGCATTTTATAGGTGCTTGCTTTTAATTAATGAATAAAAAAGATTTTTGACACAGATTCTCTTTATATTTGCATGAGAATCATGAGATTATCTCTTTTTAAAAGGAGAAGGATTAGGCCAAAGACAAAAAGCTTTTCTTGTGATGCTAAGGAGTTTAGTCTTTCTTCTAAAGACATGAATAGCCTGTGAGGAATTTTAGGAATGAGGTATCTTGTAGTTTGAACCTAAGTGTCCTTCAAAGGCCTAACACATGGTACTACTGGGAAGATATGAGAATGTTAAGAGGTAGTCTGGTGGGAGGTTTTAGGTCTTTTGGGTCTTTTGCCCTTGAAGGGGACTGTGGAATCCTGGCTTCCTTTCTTTCTGGTCACCATGAAGTATTTACCATGTGTTCCCGCCATGATTTTCTCCTTTGCCACGGTCCAAAAGCAATGGGACCAACTGAACGTGAACAGAAATTTCTAAAACTGTGGGCTAAAGCAAACATTGCCTCTTTTTAAGTCAATTATCTCAGTTGTTTTGTTACAGTAATGAAAGCTCATAAATGTCTCAGGCTGACATTTACATTTTGAAAAGGTCACTGACTCAGTGCCGAGGAAGAGATAAAAATGGGAAGGCTTAAACTGGAGAAACCAGTTAGGATGAAATTGTAGTAGATCATTCTGAAGGAAATGGACCCTGTCCTCAGAAAATAGCTGTGGCTACAAAGAGGACAGGGTTGCATGGAGAGTTACATAAGGGTAAAATTGACACTGTAAAAACCAGACTGTTTGAGTATTAAGAATTGACCTGCTGTAGATCTGTTAGTAAATTTCTCAAAACCCTTTGAGTGATGTGTGCCCTGGATTCATAACCTCCTTTGTTATTTTCTGTATAGAGCTGAAAAAGAGCTAGGCACATAAGAGAGAAAAGACATATTTAGATTGAATACTCATATCTTTGAGGGGTGTTTGTTTTGATTTAAGTTTTTGTGGCTATGAAGAGAAAGGGAGACAGAGTTATATTCTTGCTTATTTGCTCACTTTTTTGAAGGTCTCCCAATCTAGATCATTGGATAACTAAAAAAACCCACTCACGTTTCAACTTCTTCTTCTTTTTTTTTTTTTTGGTACCAGGGATTGAACTTGGGTCCTTGTGCTTGCGCAGCAAGCGGCGGAACCACTGAGTTAAATCCCCGGCCTGTATTTCAACTTCTTGATAATTTAAAATCACTAGGTTGGTAAACAGCAATGGGAGGATCGTCCTAGTTCTCAATGAGCAATAATCAGCGGTGTCTGCCTAATCCCTAAACAATCAAGTGTCAAGAGCAACAAAATAGTGCATACAGGATCTCAAAAAATTCCAAATTCTCTCAATCTTAACCAACCATTTTTCTTAAATAAAACAAGCCTGTCATACTGAGTATGTCTTAAAGAGCAAGAGTAACTGTAACAGGGATAGAGGAATGAGTGGAGAAGTTAATGCCTTGGAGATTTTGGTGGGGGGTGGGTGGCATCACCACACTTCTTTTTCTTTTTTCTTTTTAGTACCAGGGATCAAACTCAGGACCTTGCGCTTGCGAGGCAGGCGCGGTGCCACTGAGCAACCTCCTCAGCCCTGCACTTCTGAACACACTAACCTCATACACTTTACCTCCGTATTTTGTCAGAGGGCTGTCCCTTGAGAGCACAATGGGGGCAGCAGCCACGAGCAGAAGCTTGAGAGCACCCTTGCCTGTGCTGCATGGGAACAAATCACAGAGACAAGAAAGGGAAGGGCAGGGTTAGTCTACAAGAAATCGTTTATAAAAACCATAGCTATTAATGGAGACTTCTTGTAAGTCCTAGCTTTTCATGGCTTCTTTTCCTATAGGTAGATTTGACAGAACAAACTATTGAATTAAAATGTTTCACTATTCATTCATTCATTCATTCATTCCACAAACATTTCTGGGTATCTCTCTGTGCTGTGCACTGTGCTGGGGACTAGGGATGTAGGACGCATCCTGTCCCTGTGGAGCAGGCAGTCCCAGCACTCAGCTGCCTGGAAAGCAAAAAACAAGGATAAGGACAAAAATGAGCAAGCATGACAACAAAATAAACAAACAAAACCTCTGCTGGTTCATAGGGTCAGAGACTAATTATCCTTTGCCCACTGGCTACACAGTTTACAGACCTGCAGAACATTTTGTCAAAGGCAGGAGGGTTGTTATAAACATGTACACTAGTTGAAATGACACTCAGAAGCTTAATGTTGAAAGAGGCAAAAATCAAGAAAGATATAACCTGACAGTGTGTTTCTATATTATTCGTGCAGTTAAAAGTAAATCATAAACCAGAAAAGAAAACAACTATAAGAAATTTGCTCAGTGATTCAAATGGTGCTTGCCTCTGGGAAGCAGGCTTATGGGTAACATTTCTCATTTATTCTTGTTCTCTATTTTCCAAATACTTCATATTGATTACAATTTTTAAAAAATTCACTCTAAAAAAATGAAGTCAGTCAAATCAAGATTATGTAAGGTAAACGAAACTGAGGTGAGGCAGAAAAATGTAAAAGCTACAGCTCACCAAAACATGTCTGCCCCCCTTCCCATATACAAACCTGTGTGTGTGCATGCACACTGAAGGGCAAAGCTACTGACTCAGGAGCACATGTAATTAATCCTTTGCCACGGTCTAAACTAGTTTGTAGGTTAGCCATCCATGCACTGGCTATTCAATCTTATTCTAGCTAAAAACCAAACCAAAACAGTAATTGATCATGGGTTACAAAGAAATAAGTGAAGAAATATACTACTTGGGAGTCAAAACAGTGTAATTTTAAATGTATGTATATGTATATGTATGATTGCCCTTGCAAAAGGCATGCCTATTTCTCTGGAGGTGAAATGAGTAAGAGTAAGGTGGAGCCTTTTTCCCCCTTTTACTACCTACCAGTCATTTATATGAGCGACACTGATAAGCATGCGCTTCTTTGGCCTTGTCTTGAATGAGTAATAAATTTGTGGAAAACAAGAAAAGAAATAAAGATGGCTTCTTGTGTACCAAACCTCAGGCACACATTAGCATGAAGTGGCCAGTGACCAGTAGCAACTAAACATTGCCCTTGAGGTCACTGTGTGACGCGTCATCCTCACCTGTCATACATGGCCATGAGGAGACTCAACGTGAGTTTTGCAGCTCTGGGATGCACCTGTGTTTCCACACTGGCCCTCTGAAACAGCTCTTGGAAGGTCTGAAAAAGCCGTGGCACAGAAAGGAGCCCTGCATTGGCCTCCCAGACACGTGGCTGGACTAAGACCTCCTGAATCAAGGTGCTGCTGACCAAGTCCACTGTAAGAAGCAGATGGGAAATTGAGCCTTCAAATAAATCAAGTGCCTTCTAGGGTTTAAGTAAGAACATCTTATGTCTGCTGTTTTCCTTAAAGGCTCAATCAATTTTTTTTTTGGTACTGGGGATCAAACTCAGGACCTTGTGCTTGAGAGTCAGGCCACAAAACCACTGAGTTAAATCCCTGGCCCCTTAAAGGGAATTAAATACGACCACCATATGGATACATAATTTTTGAGTGTAATTCAGGCATTACTATTCTGATGGTCAATTTTATTTTGGAAAACTATGCTTTGAGATAATAAAACATAATCAAAACTTTATTACCAGTATAATCTCTAGGTTGTCATTTTGTGGAATGAAGTTAAAAAGGAAGAGAAGTGAGAAACTTGAAAAATAAGCCTTCTAACCAAGTTAAGACACCATGGTGATAAGTTAGGAAAAAAATCTTTTATCTTCTGCATTAAGTGGACTGAACAAATTAAGCTTTCATGTTCAAATCATCTTTTCTGTCTGCACCCTAGCTTCAGAAGAGGACAGCGTGTTAGGATGTTAATTGCCATAGTTAAAATCCCCAGTGATCTTTGTAAAGACTAGTTGCTGAATTATCTATCACTCCTTTTTTTTTCTTTTTTGGTACTGGGGATCGAACTTGGGACCTTGTGCTTGCAGGGCAGGCTCCAGAACCACTGAGCTAAATCCCCAGCCCTGAATTATCACTCTTTAGGCACCACTCTTTTTTTTTTTTTAGGCACCACTCTTGTCTTAGAAATATCATTTTAAAAAACCTTGGTTCCATCAATATTATAATCTAGAAAATGCACTTAATAAAAACTAGAGTTGATTATAAAAATAATAGTTTATTTCATACATATATATATCTTCTAAAAAATTGTACAAGGCACTGAATAGAAAGAAGAATGAAATGGAGCTAACCCTATAGTTTCCAATGGGCAGAGGACGACAGATAAAATTAATAAACACCCCATGTGTCACCTGAGAGTGGGGATGTCAAGAAACCGAGAGTGGCTGGCATTTGAAATGCTTCAGCCTGTGAAATGATAAAACCCCATGCTTCTCTCTACTTCATAAATCACTCTCACAGATAAGGAAGCCAGCAAGTATCATAAAATTTTTATTTGTTCTCTGATATTGCTTTTAAGGGGAGCGTCTAAGGAACAGAGAAGAGGTTTTAGGAATGGGGCTTAAATAAAACCTGGCCCCAGCTGGCTGAAGCTGTACACTGTTTTATCATTATTTGATCTCAAACCTTGTCACCTGGGCTTGGAATTCTGAAGGCAGGAAGTTTTATTTTCTGTGGAGATTCTGTGTTCCGGCAAGCCAGATAATGGTGCTGTCCATTAATTTCACACCAGGTTTCCTCAGCGATACTCTTCGGGCTGGCTGCTTGGAGTTCATGTGACACTTTATCGCAGTGTTTGGGGTTTTTTGTTTTGCTTTGTTTTCAGATATTTGGATACTTTTTCTAGTTAGAATTTTCACTCACTGACTTATGCATTGTTAATATTTCTCATAATTATTATTTATATTCACTGTTTCCGATGGCAGGGATAACAAAAAGTATAAAAATTTAAAAATCTACATTCTCCAATTATGTTGTTCTGTATTTCTAAGCATTAATGATGGAGACTTATGGGCACTTTTGCTTGTAACTTTCTTTAATGGGAGAAAATCTTCATGAAAATGATTGGGGTAATTGTGTGTGTGTGTGTGTGTGTGTGTGTGTGTGTGTGTGTATTATGAGGGATTGAATCCAGCATGATTGGGGTAATTGTGTATGTGTGTGTGTGTGTTTGTGTGTGCGTATTATGAGGGATTGAATTCAGGGTTTTTGCACTAAGCTATATCTCCAGCCCTTATTTTTTATTATTTATTATTTATTATTTTTTTGGTACCGGGGATTGAACTTGGGACCTTGCCCTTGCGAGGCAGGCAGCAGAGCCACTGAGCTAAATCCCTGGCTCTCTTATTTTTTATTTTGAGACAGAATCTGGCTAAGTTGTTAAGGTGCCCAGGCTGGGCTTGAACTTGGAATCCTTCCACCTCTGCTGGGAATAGATTTTTAATGAGCACATTGTATGTTTTATTTATCCTCAGAATTTAAAAAATAGTAATAGGTGAGTTTTATTTGTCTAGAGTGGTGATTAAAAAATACTGTTTGTAAAGCCCCAAATCCTTTCTTCAGAGGAATCTGCTATAGAAGCACAGTACAGAAAACAGAGAAATACAGTTGTTCTTGTTGAGGATGTGGTATCTGAGTATTCTGCCTGCTTCCATCTCTTCTTCCCACCTTGTTCCCTACCTCACATCATGTACAGTTTGTGAAGCGCAACTGGAAAACTGTCTGTCTTTATTACTTATTAGGTAGAAGGGAAAATGTAAAAATTGCAACAATCAGAAGTTACATCAGTTTAAGTTTGATATAAATGTCAGAAATTATTTCACATGAAGTGATTTTAATGCAATAAAGAACGTGTGAATGATTAATAACTTTGGATATGGTGAATACCTGAATTTATTTCACTATGGAGAAATTTTACTATATTTTACCTAGAAAACAGTATAAGGAAAGAAAGCCATAGTACTCAAACAGATATACATTTAATTCAAAAGGGGGATTCGAGGGAACTCTCTAGCTGATTTTAACTTTTATGGCCTGTATATCTTTTATTTGACCATTCCTTTGCATGGTCAGTTATAGATAGGAAATACAATTTGAACATTCAATTTGAAATTTAAATTTTTGTACTTAAATCTGTAAGGACAGATCCTTAACTAACTTTTTGGTAGTTGTATTTTGTGTTGATGTTGGTATCTTGAAAGGAAAACGAAAACTAAATGTTTCTAGAAGCCAAATAGGAAAACTAAAAAAATTGAAGTCCTCATCCACAGTCATTTTCTATTGCCAGTAACAAAGCCACACAGTGACACCCTCCACACACCCCACCCCACCCCCACACAGAGCTGGTCTTCTCTGTCACAAATGAGCTCAGTGCAGAGGCCCAACCTTCTAGAACCCAGCAGTTACCTGCATGGGGAGGGAAAAGTTCTGGTTTCTGTATGACTCTTACATCACACATCATCAAGGTCAGATATTTCAAGGGATTCAAGAGAGCTTGTACTTACACTGGCATAGAGTTTCCCATGACTGTAATTTGAAGGCTGTTCTAGAGATAGAATTCTCAATATTATTAAGAGTGTCTGTACAGGAAATATGAAATATCATGGGTAAAGGACTGTCTTATTATATAAATCCCACATCCTAGAAGGAAATCTTAGAGATCACGTAGCCCAAAATTAAGATGGAAAGCTTTCTTTTCTATCCACAAACAAATTCTGCAGTAATATACTTACCGTGTCCTACTGCTGGGAGTGACCCTAAGAGTACTCTCTGAATCTGCCAAATAAAAGAGTTCACCAAAAACTAGTGAGTCCTCCTGCACCAATCTTTTCATTTTTTATATAAGGCAATGTACTTGTGAAACAAATAGTACAAAGAACTGTAGAACATAAACTCAATTTTGTTAGTATATTCCAGTCTAATGTGTATACATACATGAAAAAGATGCAAAAACTATGCAAATATTTAATGAACTTTTAGCACCTGATCCTGGTATAATTCTACGTCCTTGAAAATACAGCAGATAAAAATCCTTACTCTTGTGGATTTTAACTTTTAATGACATCCATCTCATTGTTAACAGTGAGTAAGTGAAATACTGAAATTATTGGTGCTTTTAGTTATTTTTTACTTGCCACTATTATCTAAATCGTCCATGAAGGGCATATATTATTTTTATAATAATTAATATATCTTATTTTGAGGTTAACATCAGTCCAGCAATGGCGAGCATTTCTGAGCTCTCCCCAGGCACTGAGTGTGTAGCTGCCCATTTCACAGTGTGGAGGAGAGGACAGAGCCCAGGAGCCAGCCATGCCTAGTTCTACCGCTTCCTTCCTGTCTCCTTTAGGGTAATTTAGTTTTTGATCTGCAGTTTCTACATCAGATAAATAAGGATTATGATACATTCCTCATAGGGTATTTGCATGACTTAACTACAAACATGTAAGTAATATACTTAATAAATTGTTTCTCTTCCTTTCCTTGAGGACCTATGATTTAAATTGGTTTCATCAGTCCTCCAGATTTGATTTTCATTTTGTTTAAGAGACATGTAACAACCACATGTCTTTTGGCCATCACATAACAGAATTACTTGTTGTCTAATACAAAAATGATCAGTCTTCATATCTATCAAAACTGAAAACTGCAGAGTAGATCACCCCATTCATTCATACCCTCTTTAATGTCATCCAGAAAAGATTTGTAAGGGCATAACATTAATTGTTTAATTTTAGGCACCTAGAATTTCCTGTTTTAAGTGATTATTGTTGGTGTAAAGCACTGGTCTTCAAAATATGGCTCCAGGGCCAGCAGCATCAGTACCACCTGGGCACTTGTTAGAAACACAGATTCTAACAAGATTGCCCCAAAACCTCAACTCCATACTCTAGAAGGGAGATCTACCGACATTTGCTTCAACAGTAAAGTAAATCTTATGTAAACTAAGGTTTGAAAACTACCTGTGCAGAGGGAGTTTGTTGATTCTGGAGCAATTGTCTTGGATCCGGCCAACTTGCAAATGATTTTTAGGGATTATTTACATAAATGATCAGATAATCTGCAAATCTTGATAAAAGCTGTGAATGTCTTCCTTTCCAGTATTTCTACCTTGTGAATATATGTGTTCATAGATTAAAATTCCCAAATAGGAACAGCAAATTTCAACTCATTACTCTATTCCAAATCCAACCAACTGACACTGATTTACTGGAGGGTTCTCTGGACAAGGTCTGTCAAGGAATGCCTGCTTTGTTTGCAACAGTGTGCAGGGGACAGTAGAGGTTCTGTTGCCCTACATTTTATTTATTTATTTTTTTGCTCCAGACTAGTGATGTATCATAGTGGTGATATGGAGTATTCTTGCTTTTCTCCTTCCTTACTTTTAATAGAGATGTCAAAAATAACCATTTAACATGTAATCAACATAAAAGTTATTAATGAGGTATTCATATTAAGTTCTTGAAATCTGATATCTCTTTTACACTTGCAATACATCTGAATTCAGTCTAGCTACATTCCAAGGGCTCGATACCCATGTGTCTAGTGGCTGCAGACTTACAGCTCATTTTAAAGACCTTTGGGAGGGAGCTGTTCTGGGGGCTGAACTGGCCTTAATCTTTTGATTATGTGTCTGGAGTCAGGGTTGCTGGTTGGGTTGAGCTGGAGATCTAAGAGTCATTGGGGAGAGAACATACAACTTATCCAGGACAAGTTCCCTGGAACCTGGAAATCAACAGTCTGAAGACCCAAAGAAAGGGTGGAGAGGGCATGTGAGAACATTGAAGGAATTGACAGAGGAGAAAAAAATAGGATCCACTGCTACAGAAGAAATAGATTACTGACTCAGATTGAAGAACACTCCACTCAGTGGCTCACTGAGAAACAGAGACCAGACCTGGATCAGGAGAATCTTGTACATTGGTGGTAGCAGTGAAAGTGCGAGACAATATTCCCTAACCTCCCACTCCAGGGGAAAAAGTTGGTAAGTGAGGCTCCTGCAATTGGTGGCTGCGTGCAGGGCCACTATTTTGTGCAGAGAGGTGCAAACTTGAACTCTGACAGCAGAACAGCATTGCTTTCTTCCAGGGCCACTTTGCTGTCCTGAGAAAGTAGGAAAGAGCTGTCCAGTCATGATAGACTCTCAGCAGAAGGTCAGCAGATTGAGGGAATTTATGTTAAGAAGCAGAGACTGGATCCAGCCAAACTGAGCTCCCAGGACTACCCAGGGGCATTAAAACTGGCCCCAGCTACAAAGGATGGGAGGCATTCCCTCTGCTCTGTGACTGGAGATGCAGGGGGACAGCAGCCTTGGCAGATGGCAGAAAAGGGACATTCCCCAGCTGCACTGCGACCATGGACACAAACAAGCAAACAACCTTAGCCAGTGGTAGGACAAAGGATTGCTCCCACCCCCACCCAGCCAGAACATGAAAATAATCAGAGATGTGGAACAGAGGACCCCATTCAAGACCTGGGAGGCACAGCAGTGCCTAGACCTAGGCATAGCCTCAGGCTGTCTCCAGCAGAGGGCACCACAGCAGCTGAGAGAGCTGTGAGGACAAGAAGACAGTGGGGAGACCTGGGCAAGAGACACTGGGAAGGCTGCTGATGGACAAGGGCCCTTCTCTTACTCTTGGAAATCAGAAACAGCCCTGTGTTCAGCATTGATCCCCAGACCTGATGGGGCTGCACAGCATATTTCTTTCAGAATGAACCAATGTGAGGACAGAATTTCAGATATAGAAGATAATTGCAATAAGTGACCAGGAAAACAGAAATCTCTTTAAAATAGTAAGGGACTATGAGAAATCGATCCAGAAGCTGCTAGATGATGGAAAGAAGAATAACAAGACTGATTGGAGTCAATCAAGAAACAGGAGAGAGTGCAGATGACATAAAAATATTGTTCACAGGGCTGGGGATTTAGTTCAGTGGTTTTGCCACCTGCTGCGCAAGTGCAAGGACCCGAGTTCGATTCCCGGTACCAAAAAAACCCCACAAAAAAACCAAAAACAAACAAACAAACAAACAAAAATATTGTTCATAGAAGTGATGG